AATATTTAGAGGATATTAGAAGAGGAATTTTCCTCTAAGTATAAGATTACTTTTTTTTGGGTGTGGTAATGGGAAAGTAGTGGCAAAGTTTACGTGAAAATATATTTTAGAAACTCTTAATTTTTTTATAGGTACTAATGTTAGTAACATTAGTAACGTTAGTAACGTTAATTTTTTCACCTGGGATTATTTGGTTCAAATAAATTGAATTTGCTTAAAGTAAATTCTATGAAAAATTTTATTTATACCTTCTATTCAATTCAAAAACAAAAATAATTTTAACTCAAAAGGAAAATATTTTTTTTTTTTTTTGTTACTGGATATAAATTTTTATTTCCCCTTCTAAAATCTTGGAACATGTAATTTATGTTTCATCATTATTCTATTATCGCTCATTTTCTTCCCCGAAATTTCGAGCCGATAATTTCATTACCCTAATTTAATTCCCGTGGAATATAAATACTCGATTTATTAGTAACGTCACAACTATGACGTCATTAATAACGTATTACGTGTGGCTCTTAATAAAATCAATAGAGTAAATGAATCATTTTTAATTCATAAGGAAACGAAAATAAATTTTTTTTTTTTTTAATATATAAAAATTCTGCACTTGATTAATCAAAACATATACAGATAGAATTGATTGATTATCAGGGATATAAGTCAACCCTATATGTGATTATAGGAGGTTGTGGTTAAAATTATCAGAGCGTTACACAGGGGTTCCCATGTCGCCTCAGTATTTCGACAATATTATATATATATATATAGACATTGTGTCCACGTTACCAATATATGCAGTCACATAATTTATATCACAACATACACTATATATTAGACACGCTTTTCACTAAACTATAGCCTCCACTTGTCACATTCCAGATGATGTATACATATATATGTATATATATATCTTGTAAATCCTATAGTATATAAACTAACTCTTGTTAGCTACATTAAATAAATTTTCCGTAATTTAAGTTTAAAATGACAAAATTAAAATGAGAATATAAAGCAATATTCTTCAGGATTCATTTTACTTTAGGAAATTTTTTTCCCTTATTTCTTTTTCTTATTCAGAAAAAAATTTGTTTGAAACAATTCAAATTTTGGTTGAATCAATAAAATAAATGTTTTTCTACACAGTAAATGAAACTTTTTGTTGAATCAATAAAAAGTTTATTTGGCTCGAACAAATAGTTTGGAATTTTTTTTAAAAACAAACCCCACACGTTTATTTAAATTAAATAAATACACTCAGAAAAAAATTTGTTTGAAGCAACCAAATTTTGGTTAAATCAACAAAATAAATGCATTGATATACAGTTAACCAAACATTTGGTTGCATAAACCAAACGTTTATTTAGCTCAATCAAATTTATTCTTTGTTCAAAAAATTTATTAAAATAAACCAAACAGTTATTTAGATGAAATAAATATTTATTTGAATTAAACAAATTTTGTTTGAACTAACCAAAAAATTGGATAAATATAAAAAAATTGTACATTTGGTTCAAACATATCTTTTTTCTGAGTGTACTTATTCAATTTTTTTTTAATTTCAAATATTGATTGAGACAACAAAATTTTGATTGAATCAACCAAATATTCATTGAATCAACCAAATAAATTGATTGGTATATCAATATTTTGTTTGAATCAACCAAAAGTTTATTTGGCTCAATTAAATTGTTTTTTCGTACAAAAAATTTATTAAAATAAACCAAACGTTTATTTAGAACAAATAAATATTTATTTCCACAAAATTAATATTTCAAATAAATATTTATTCGAATCAAATAAATTTTTTTTATTTCAAATAAACATTTATTGGAATCAAATTTTATTGTTCCAAAAAAATTTTGCATGAAATAAAGAAAAATTGTGTTTTCACAAAAAAAAAGTGGTATATTTGATTCAAATAAAACTTATTTCTCTGAGTGCAATTAACTAGAAAAAAAAATTAAAAAAAGATTTCCCTTCTAATATTAGAAAGAATTCTTACTATCGTCTCAAAAAAGAAATATTATTTTAAAAGAATATTAAAAATAGAAGAGATTAATTTTTCTGTGTAAAAAAATGTAAGACTTAATAGAAGATAAATTATTATTTTAAAATACATAAATAATTTATATTGACGCACAATGCTGTGAAAATATAAGTATAGTAAGAAAAAAAGATGAAAGTGGTAAATTAGAATTTTTGTTAAAAAATTCACTGCGGTGGCTTCATTTCCGCTCGTTTTTAAACTTCTTAAAGTTTCTATATAGAAGCTGGAACTAATTCCTTAGTAATGCTTCATTCTCTCAACTTTTTAGTATGAGGTCAAAGCATTTTAAGTTCATAAAAACGTAAAGACTTTATAACTCGATTCTTTGAAAAAAAAAAAATAATAAAACCAAAGAAAAAATATGTCTATTATGATAAAAATTAAGAAAAATAAAACAAATCTCTAGACTAAAAAAGAATTATATGGGATTAATTTCAAAACATTTGAAATTAATTTTACAATTTATCAATATTTGACCACTCTCTTATACTGAAAAATAGTATTTAGTTCGAATAATCCGTTACCTATAATTAAATAAATATTTCCGACCAAATAATTTTTATTTTGAATCAAATAAACTGTATTTGTGCATTAAATCAAAGAAATTCTAACATTGATACAAGGTTAAAAAAAATTTATTTGAATTAAATAAAAAATTTCTTTGAAACGAAGATAGTTTTTTTAATAAAAAATAATTTGTTTGAAACAAATAAATTTTCTCTGTATCAAAGAAAAAATTTGTCAAAGAAATTGATTTCTTTGAATCAAAGAAATCTTTTTTCGGGATGAACACCTCAAAAATTTTAATTATTTAAATCTAAAATTTAATTATTTTGCGTATAAATGAAGAAAACTGAATAATAGAAACCAAGACAGATAATTTAGTTGTTTCTTGTACAATTAGTTTATCAGTAGTTGAGATTCTCCCCTTATCTTTATTCAGACTTGCAACATATATATAAATATCAACTATGCAAGTTCATCAGAGGATGGAATTCAAAGTAACTGGTACACAAATACACATATATATATATTCGCTAGTGAGTATGCTAAAATGCGCACCCAAAGGGTGGCAATGACGCTGCACCCCCTTCCATTGATGTGAATCGCGTGTCTAAATTTAGATCAGCTCTGTGCGCGTCCGGACACATTGTACGAACGCAGAGGTGGTTTATTCAAATTATTCGGTCTAACGATGAATTCTATTCCGACAAAAATGGGTACGCCAAACTAAACCACTATTGTTTCAAAAGCGTTAACTTGGTTTTTGGTTTCAGCTAATGCAAACATTGCAAATGGCCCTTTTTCACTAAAAATCAGTTTTCAAACAAAGACACAACTGATTTTCATTGATTACACAAATTACAACTAACAGAAATTTATTATATATATATAATTATTCAGAAATTCATTTATATTTATATATATAAAATCATTACGATATTGTTGAGGAGGTTTAACATAATCTCAAAATAAAATGTAGTTTTTAAACAGTACTAAACATTTATTTAAAATTTATTTCACCTAAATTTAACCCCTTGACTGTCGACGAGATTTCCACTATTTGGGCCAAAAGTGTGTTGAAAAAAATTTTAATGAATTTTTATGAAACTTGGTATCTTAAGGTTTTCAGGGTCGCTGATTACGAACCTAAGGTCGGTTTTTCAAAATTCAAAATGGCGGATCCAATATGGCGGACAACAAATTGAAAATATAATGCAATTCGCTTGAAAATGGGTACTCGGGGGTTTTTGGGGTCGCTGATTACGAATCCCATGTTAGTTTTTTAAAATTCAAAATGGCGGATCCAATATGGCGGACGACAATTTGAAAATATAATGTAATTCTCTTAAAAATGGGTATTTAATTAAATTTGATTCTATACAAAATTATTGTACAACTGCAATAATCCGTCATTCAATAATTATCATATTGGTTCCGTCATTTTGAATTTTAAAAACTGATGTCTCATTCGTAATCAGCGACCCCGAAAACCCCCGAGTAACGAGTTTCGAGCGAATTGCATTAGATTTTCAGATAGTCGTCCGCCATATTGGATCCGACATTTTGAATTTCGAAAATCTGATGTCATATTCGGAATCAGCGACCCCGAAAACCCCTGAGTAACGAGCTTCAGTCGAATCCGATCAATTTTGAAAAATATTCCGCCATAATGGATCCGCCATCTTGAATTTTAAAAAACTGATATCAGATTCGTAATCAGCGACTCCGAAAACCCCTGAGTAACCATTTTCAAGCGAATTGTATCATATTTTCAAATTGTCGTCCACCATATTGGATCCGACATTTTGAATTTTGAAAAACCGACCTCAGATTCGGAATCAGCGACCCCAAAAATCTCCGAGTAACCAGTTTCAGAAATATTTGAAATGTTTTTCATCACTTTTTTTAAGTTGCGCATATATGCGTAAATAGCAATTTTGGCCAGTTTTAGTTTTACGCATATATGCGTCAGCGTCAGGCAACGGGTTAAATAGGATCCAGTTGTACCAACAATTTTCAAGAAATATTATTTTGAATTAAAATTTGTTGTTAAATAATAATTAATAAACATTTTGTGTTTTTTCTTAAGAGTTAGAGAACAATTCTAATTTTTATCCAATTTTTAGGGTTTTCGTGGCCCAGGCCCGAAAACCTTATTGTTTTGCTATTACCATAGCAACCGTTTCCATAGCAACCGTTACCATAACAACTGTTGCTAAGGATTATTTTCCTTAGCAACGGTAATATTAATATTGGCCACGAATTTGATGAAATTAATTTTATTTATATAGTTTTATTTAAAAATACTTTTTAGTTTGAGGTTATGTTAATGGGCTAAGCACCCTTAAACATTATTTATAATTATAGTAAATAAAAGAAAAAATAAAATATAAAAAAAATAATATTAGAAAAATAAATAACTTTTTTGAAAAAAAAAACTCACCGTAGTTTTTTCTAAACAACGAAGAAGATGATGATGCTGTAATTCGAAAATATCCTCCTCCTTGTAATGATCGTCGAGAGACATGCCGCTTTCCTGAGCAGCCAATCGTGCCTCAGCTGCCTTCTTTTTACTGACGAATGCCGCACCACTCGACGCCTTTGCAATCCTAATTCTCGCAAGTCTTGCTTTCTGTAAAAAAAAAACAAAATACATTTTTAAGAAAAACATTTTTTATTAAATAATTTACTTATTTTTTAATTCAATTAAGTAAATTTAAAAATTATCCTCAAATTATATATAAGAAATTGTACAAAAAGAAAAATTTAAATTATTTAAATCGCTATAAACTTTTGGAATTGTGAATGAAGATTTAACGAATTTCATTTAATGCATTACATTTCTTTAACGAGATGTAAATTGTAAAAGTCGTGTCTTTTATGTAAGACGTTGTCGTTAAAATTTTCACTCGAATATACGTGATAACGAATAAACGATGTTAATCCTTAAGAAAGTTCATTCCTCTCATATTTATTCTTTATAAAATATCGAGGCCTTTTCTAAATCCTTTTTTTTCAATATTATATATATATATATATATATATATGAATACATAAAATCCTTAATACAATTTTTCTCATAAATGCTCCAAATCCTTCTCCCTCGTCTTCCTTTTATATATATTTATATACGTAAGCAAAAATATTTTACATATATATCAACAAAAAAAAATGTTGCACGTCACACAGTTGGACAAAAAAAACATAATTTAAATAAATCAATGAATGCATTTTCTGTATTTTGAAACTACAATTTTTTTTTAGGAAAAAAGGAATTTTCATCTCTTTTCTCCAAATATTGTAAAAAAAAAATGTTTTTAAAATAACAATGTTTTGTTAATAAAATAAACAATTTGTACAAAAAAAAAATAATGAAAATAAAAAATAGTTACATTTATTAATATATCTATATATTTTCATGTATTTCGAAGGTTATTTTTTATTAAAAATTTATTTAGTATTCAAAAACATGTTTTATAAAAGCTCTTTAAAGGATTTTTTAAAAATAGATACAGATACATTTATTTGCAATTTTTGAAATTAAAATTTTTGAAAAATTTAGTACATAAAAGTATTTTTTACAAAAGATCTTTAAAGGATAGTTTTTGAAAATATATACAAATATTATTTGCAATCGTTGAAATTTAAAAAATTATTCAATTTTATATTATTTTATTTATTTATTTGCAAAATTATTAACTTATTTTTTCTAAATTTAATGCGAAACAAAATAACCAATAATTTACAATTTCAATAAATAAATAATTTCAAAATTTTTTACTTTTTAATTCGTTAAATATGTAAACTTAAATAAATAAATAACTAAAAATTATAAAAAAAAATTAAATTAATAAAACTGTGAGGTAGGAAAAAACTGTTCTAAAGTTTTTTTTAATATTATTATCTTACATTTCCTTAGTAGTTAACAGTAGTTTTTTTTGGTAAATACACTGCAAAAAAATTTATTTGATTCAAAAAATCGGTTACTTGACTATTATCAAATAAATATTTATTTGTATCAAATAATTGTTATTTGAGTCAATAAAATGGTATTTATTTCAAATAATCAAATAAAGAATTTATTATTGTTTTAAATACAGTTTATATAATAAAAATAAAAATTATTTGATTCAAGTAAATATTTATTTGATTACAGTCAAGTAACCAATTATTTGAATCAATTCAATTTTTTTTTTCCAGTGTAAAAATAGAAAATATTTTTTCAAATTTTACTTTTCGTGACGTTGGTGTGAAAGATTAGAAAAGTAGGTGACCAAAAAAAAAAAAAAAAAAAAAAGAAGAAGAAGTGTCAAATGGACAAGGTCATAAGTAGAATTTTTGCACACTAGACTTTTGAAAACGGTCAATTAGGCTTTCAATGCTTTTATTGCAACGGAACTGCAATCAAGAAGTAAGCTCTATATATGCCCATCGTATGAGCACATTGTAAATACGTAACACAGTGGTATAACACCGTTTTAAACTCGCCAAACGACTGGTTCCTATAGTCTAGCCATTTCCGGAACGATTATGTCCAAAGAGCACCACGTTTTCACCCTCTCCCAATCGTCATCCACCCTCTCTTTTTACCTCATTTCACGATGCCTCTTTTCTCGTTGGATTTTTTTTTTCCTTTTTTTTGTCCCAATTACAATCGTTATCACCGCACTTTACAAATTTCACATTATTTCTTCATGTCAATTTAGATTGTAAGATAATTGAAATTAAAAAATTTGACAATTTCATTTCTTATTTAGAAAATAATTAATAATAATAGTAATAAAGAATAAGAAAACGAATTATAAGAAAAAAATTAAAATAATACTAATAATAATTAATAATAATAATAAAAAATAATAATAATAAGCCATGGAAATAATTTTTTTTATTTAATAAATGTATTAATTAATTATTTATTTTCTAATTAGGATAAATGTGAGTGATTTGCAAATTTCTATATTTCCATTAAATTTAGTAAGTCAATGAGGCTTTAAATCTGTCTCTGACAAACAAGAAAATGTTTACGACAAATATTTAATGTCCATTATATTCTTTACATGAGATAAACTGTGAAAATCCTTCCCATTAGTGCACTTCCTTAACAAGTTTGTACTGCGAAACATAATAGCAAACAAAAAAAAAAGCAAGTGAAGACAGAAACAACATTTCTTATCATTCTTTCTTTTCGATCGAATTACAAAAGGATATAAACAGAAACAATATCTCACTTCTAAAAATATCTCACATCAACTGATATCAAAACAATTGTTATAATGATAAAAATAACTTTATCTTCTTTATATATATATATATATCTTCTCTAACTTTAACTTTTCAGTTAAAAAACAAATTTTTTTTTCAACAATAAAATTAATGAAAATTTTCACTGAGTCTACTTTTTCTTTTCATATAATTTGAAATAAGGAAAACAATTTTCATCTAGAACAGCGATAAGTTTCACTGAAGCAGCTAATTTTTTCGTTATTCTAGAGAAACATATATCGCTGTTCTAAGGATTTTTTTTTCACAAAAAAGTTTATAATAATTTAAAATTAATTTGAAAAAAAAAAATTCTGAGAATAAAAATAAAAAAAATACTGGATATAGAAAAACCACAAATACGTGAGAGAGAGGTTATAAATGTTAAATAAATCTTAATCCATGTGGGAAGGCTTTTAACGTCATTAAAGTCTCTATAATAACAAAAATGAACGCGAAATGTTATAAACACACACACACATATATATATATATACACAAAAAACGAAAACTAGCCTAAAGCGATGACTCGAGTTTGATTATCTTCAAGTTCGAATGTAAACGTATTTTACGATCCACGCAATTTCCATGATATTTAACAGAAGCATCTCTGGCCTCCCTCTCTTTTATTTCAGCTGTTTACGTGCAAAATTTTCCTTTATACCCTCGAGCGATATTGCAACCAAAAGCTTTCCGCCGCACAACTTGCATATCGGTCTCACCAGATCCCGCAAAACAAATAATTTCCTCAACACTAACATATATATATGAGAGATTCTTTTTCAATCGCCCCAGCCCAAAAAGTCAATGTTCTGGGATTGGCTTCATACTTTGGTAAATTGTTGTCCTATATGATAGTAATAAATCCCTAAAATATAAATTAATTAAAAAAATATTTGTAGAAAGTAGAGGGGGTTGAAGTTTTGACGTTAAGGGTAACATTGTCATTTTCAAATCCGTTTAACTATGACAAAAGTTAATGGATTTTAATTTATCTATAATGAATTTTATTGCATTTTTCACGTACTTTTCAAAAATGTATATGAAATTTAAAAAAAAAAATTTTTAACCCCTTTTTTGTCAAAATCAACCCTTATTTTTCGATTTTTACCCCTTCGGGTATTTTTTTTTTTTTTTTTTTTATTTTCATTGGAAAGCTGAGGTTTTTTCCGATGAGCTATGTAAATATGAAAATGGGACAACAATAATTTTGTGAGAAACAGAATATTAAAGTAGGCGGTGCCGATAAGGGTGCCGTTAAGGGTAACATTGTCATTTTCAAATCTGTATAACTATGACAAAAGTTAATGGATTTTAATTTATCTATAATGAATTTTATTGCATTTTTCACGTACTTTTCAAAAATGTATACAAAATTTAAAAAAAAAAAATTTTGACCCCTTTTTTTTCAAAATCAACCCTTATTTTTCGATTTTCACCCCTTCGGGAATTTTTTTTTGTTTTTTTTTTATTTTCATTGGAAAGCTGAGGTTTTTTCCCATGAGCTATGTAAATATGAAAATGGGACAACAATAATTTTGTGAGAAACATAATATTAAATTAAGCGGTGCCTATCTAAATCCTCAAAGATGATCTCCAGGTACACCCCTTATCGGCACCGCCTACTTTAATATTCTGTTACTCACAAAATTATTGTTGTCCCATTTTCATATTTACATAGCTCATCGGAAAAAACCTCAGCTTTCCAATGAAAATAAAAAAAAAAAAAAAAAAAATACCCGAAGGGGTGAAAATCGAAAAATAAGGGTTGATTTTGACAAAAAAGGGGTTAAAAATTTTTTTTTTTAAATTTCATATACATTTTTGAAAAGTACGTGAAAAATGCAATAAAATTCATTATAGATAAATTAAAATCCATTAACTTTTGTCATAGTTAAACGGATTTGAAAATGACAATGTTACCCTTAACGTCAAAACTTCAACCCCCTCTACTTTCTACAAATATTTTTTTAATTAATTTATATTTTAGGGATTTATTACTATCATATAGGACAACAATTTACCAAAGTATGAAGCCAATCCCAGAACATTGACTTTTTGGGCTGGGGCGATTGAAAAAGAATCTCTCATATATATATATATATATATATATATATATATGTATCTTGCTTTTCCATGTATAGAAATTTCTGTTTTATCCAAATAAGCCAAAATCCTCAACAATTATTACTATTTTTATTATTATTATATTTTTATTAATATTTTTATTTTTATTACTATTATTTTTATTTTTATTATTATTATTACATGGAAAAAAATCTTTATCTGAAACAGTGATATGCTTTTCTAGAATAGCGAAAACTTTCGCTCTTTTAGAAAAACATATCCCTATTCCAGTGAAACTTATCGTTGT